GCAGCTCCTTTCCATGTCTTTTTTCCTCCAGCTCCCAAGAAGGACTTCCTTTGTATTTCAGAGTTGAGAGCAAAATAACTTCCTTTTTAATTAATATTTTAAGATGGCTTCATCAGGGTAGAGGGAAATGAAAAGATACTCAAAATAGCCTCTCTCTATTCAGAGCTCTAAATTGAGATGTTTAACTACCCTGCTTAAGGCAAAACGAACTTAGTTACAGCTAAAGTAAACTAGACACTGAGATACCTGCCAAATAAACAATTATTTACAAAATACAATATCTCAAACAATAATTGAATGCTGCTAATGCTAACTTGGAGTTGGTAGTTTTAAACACGTTTAAAGGGCGTGCAGCATTCTAGACTTGAAAGTGACCTCTTAAGTTTAAAGGGAATGTGTACTCTTCTGGCATTCTCTAGCACAATTCTTTCATTGATTCTTAAAATTTCTACAAAACTACTGTTGGATGAATTGGAGATGATTTTTTTTCTCCCAACTTTAATCTTGAATTTTTAGAGATACGGAAACTTTGCAAATAAGTTGCATTTAATTAAATATTTTGATGTATTGAAAATACAACTCAACATAGTACATCCTAATCTGATCAATTGTATCATTATTAGAAAGGGAGATAAAGACTTTACTCAATTTTGACCTTTGTGTCCTGCACAGACCACTTGCTACCTCATTCGAAGGCAGACATGGCAGTGTGCGCTATTGGGTGAAAGCCGAATTGCATAGGCCTTGGCTTCTACCAGTAAAATTAAAGAAGGAATTTACAGTCTTTGAACATATAGATATCAACACTCCTTCATTACTGGTAAGAATTGACAGAATTACTCATTCTTTGTTTCTGGCATACAAATAATGAAGTACAATAACCAAAACAACATCAACATCTAATTTTATCTAATATTTATTTGCTAGTTTAACTACAGCTGATCTTTTAAGCATTATATCAATTTAGCAACTCTTTAACTGCTGGTATTTTTAAAGCTAAATTATCCTGTACAGAGTTGCTTAATGTTTAACAAACATAAGATGTAAATGTGTTTGTCAATTTAAATTTATAATTAATTATAAAATCTCACTCAGGAGGAGAATTTTTATGAACTGTTCCTCTTTGATTTTAAATAAGGAATAACTTGTGGAAGGAACAGTGCAACTCAAAAATATTTCAGTGAGAGACTGCTAACTTAAAAATGCAAAGTAAAAAAAAAAAAAAAGAAATGTACTGCAGTGCATAATTGATAATTTCCATATGGATAACTTTCTACTGATGGGGAGAAATTATCTCAATTCTGTATAAACTTTATGAAATTTCATTTTATTAAAATCAATTTAATATCACAGCTGCTTTCAATGAGGATTTTATTTCAGTCTGGCCTAAAATCCCTTTCTTTTCCCTTTGTCAAATTCTAATCTATGAGGGGAAAAAAAAAACTTTAAAACAAAGTCCATTGAAATAGGTTTCTTGTGTGTATGGGTGAAAAATCAGACTTGCAAAGGGACCTTGGCCTTGCACAAACTCCATTAAAATCAAAGGACTCCCATTTGACTTTAATGGGCTTTGGATCAAGCCCTTAATCCTCATCTCATGTGAAATAACAAAGTCTGTTTAATATAGATGAGACTAAGTGAGGAAATAGTAGGAGTCAAGATTACAGTAGGTTGGGTTAGTTACTTTGTTTCTGAAATGTAGTGTAATGGAAAGTGGAAAGATGTTCTAATTTACTGATAATTCAATGAAAAGTTCTGCCAACAGTATGTTAGGATGTGTAGGCTATAAAGCATTTTATTTTAAGTATTAAAAACTGTTTGAAGTATGATTATAGTATGGAGGATCCAATGGGTAGGAGAAAAAGCAATGTTAATGCACAAGTGGAATTAGGACAAACTCTTTATCTGCATAATGCCACTTAAATTGCTTGAGATTTTTTTTTTTCTTATGAAGAGAACTAGTTTTGTTTCTAAAAATATATAATTACATTATGAAAATGATTATTTTTGTGTTTATTAAAATAGCTGACAAGTTTCACTGAACTCTTGATTTAATGGGCGATTTTATTCTTTCTTTGCAGTCACCCCAAGCAGGCACAAAAGAAAAGACGCTCTGTTGTTGGTTTTGTACCTCAGGCCCAATATCCTTAAGTGCCAAAATTGAAAGGAAGGGCTACACCCCAGGTACGTAACAGAAGTAATTATAGGAAATGTTTTTCCTTCCCTTTTAAAACTACAGTTTGTACTTACAGGTTTTATATAAATGAAATATTATGGCTATTTTTACCATTTTGATTCACATTCAGCAATCGCTTCAGAATACTGTAAAGTAAAACAGACAGCACTAGTTCCGTCTCCAGATTGCTGAAAGACTTCTGCTTCTGTTAGACTTGAACATTTTTGATTTAGATGAGTTAATGGTGATCTTGCTCTCATCAGCATCAGTGAATGTTTTTCCAGGTAGAGCAGTGATAGAAAGGTCTAGTGCATTTTAACAGTATATAAGAATATGACAGTTTGCTTAAGCAGCCTTTTAAATGCAAAGAGAATTTGAAATTCTGTTTTGTTTCAGGTGAATCAATTCAGATCTTTGCTGAGATTGAAAACTGCTCTTCCCGTATGGTGGTGCCAAAGGCAGCCATTTACCAAACGCAGGCATTCTATGCCAAAGGGAAAATGAAGGAAGTCAAACAGCTTGTTGCCAACCTGCGTGGGGAGTCCCTGTCTTCTGGCAAAACAGAAACCTGGAATGGCAAAGTGTTGAAAATTCCACCTGTTTCCCCTTCGATCCTTGACTGTAGTATAATCCGTGTGGAGTATTCACTAATGGTATGTTGGATGGTCTGTTTCATTCTCAAGCATGAGTAATCTCCCTCATTCCATAGAAATTCCTAACAAACAAAAGTGTTTTTTGCTAATTAGTGACAAAAGAAATACATGTCCTAGTATTAGTGTCCTGAGAGGAGATCTGTAAGTGAATTTGGTTCAAATCATGTAAGTTCTCAAAATAACTGCATGTTAGCCAAGCAAACATGTCATGAGTAGACCGCATTTCTGTGCGAGGCCTCACGTTAAGAATCTCAAGCTTCCACTAACTCTGGAAGCTTATAACTCCATAGAAGCATAGGCCCTAAAAGAGACAATTAGAAACAAGTTCCTCATAGAAATTTCCATTGGAAAAAACATCAGTCTAATAATTATAAGCTGCTAACACAAACCCATGTTTCCTTCTGTTTTTATCTTTCTTCAGGTGTATGTTGATATTCCAGGAGCCATGGATTTATTCCTTAACTTACCACTGGTCATTGGTACCATTCCTCTACACCCGTTTGGTAGCAGAACATCAAGTGTGAGCAGCCAGTGTAGCATGAACATGAATTGGCTTGGTCTGACGCTGCCTGAAAGACCAGAAGGTAACTTGACGATACAAATCCCAAGCAGTTTGCTATTCTGTTTAGATTTTTGTTTGTTTTATTCATTGCTGTCTTGCTAACAGAACCACATTCTGTCCTGTCATGATAAAGCCCACAGAAAGTCCTTTGTGGGTGTTCCCTTACCACCCGTTTGTTTTATGTAGAGGAACAGAGTTTCCTCCCTCATTGCCTTTCTCTCTGCCTAGGAAAGGCAAGGAAATCCAACTGCCTTGAAACTTGGCATAAGTGAAGGCACAGAATGCTGTTGTATCTGTGTAGAATTTCATTACTTTCACCTCCAGTATCCCAGTTGCATCCTAGCTTATAAGGCATTACAGTCCGTAATATTAGCAGTTTCTGGGGTCTCCCACCAGCCTTTGTAGCCAAGGCTTTCTGAAAAGATAGTATAATTCTTTTCTATGGAATATCTCCCCCCTAACCAAAGGAGGGAACTATAACTCCTTCCCTCTGCTTTCACATATCTAATGAACATATAATTTTTTTTAAGTACAAATCCTAGACTCTGCAGTCCTCTGGATTCCAGAAATTTCAATGTCCTGTCATTGCTCTCTGTACAGGAAAGGCAGCATCCTTGGTATACTTAATTTAAGGGGATAATTAAGCCACAATACACAGTGGTCAGTTGGTTTCTGAACAGAAGCTTAATCTTAGGAAGAAAATGAAATTGCCTAGCTCACTTCTGTGTTCAACAATTAAAGTCACTAAACTGTTTTACCTACCTGCAGGTGCCTTTTACAATGATTAAAGTTTAATATTTATCATGTTATATATTTTGACATGCATAAGAACTTGTTGTTCGAACTGCGTGTACCTTTTCCCTTCAGCACCTCCTAGCTATGCAGAAGTGGTCACAGAGGAACAGAGACAGTCCAGCCTTGCACCCATAGCTGCTTGTGATGATTTTGAGAGAGCGCTTCAAGGACCATTATTTGCATACATCCAGGAGTTTCGTTTTCTGCCTCCACCCCTCTATTCAGAAGTAGGTACATCGGATGGCATATGATGATTAATTTATTGTTTGTCTGAATTCTCTCTTGTGGAATACATTTAGGAAGATACTTCTCCTAAAATTAGGAGAAACTGCTAAAAGTGAGGAACAGGAAACAAGCTGCCTTCCCCACCCCCCACCCCTGACACACACCCTTTAGCAAGATGCAGATGAATGAATCATCAAGAGTTTTTTCCATGTCTTTCATAGCATGGGTTACACTCACTTATTTTTTTACATGACCTCTGCCTTATATCTGAAAGGTGCTCTGTCAAGTGCCTTTGCAGGCCTAGAAGTCAATTTTTCTTGGCAGCACTGCTTAGAAACTTCCAGAAAGCATTAAAGTGTTGTGGTTTTTTTGTTTGTTATTCCCCCTCCTTTTCTCTCCATAAAACATAAACATACTCTTTTAGATAAGACAAACACTTTTCAATAAAGCAGTGGTATAGAACAAAAGAGAAATACTGTGCCCTTTGGCTAAATTTTGTCTGAATTCTCCCACTTTAAGCAAACAGTATCATGTGGTGTAATTTCCCCTTCCTCCTTGAAATACTAATGCTACAATGTGGACAGAGAGAGGGGAATTCTTTGTGTACTAGAATCCCTTAGGGCTCTGCTATAGCTTAACTCTGAAGTACAGCTCTTTGGTTCTTTTCATTTTAGGTGCTCTAAGTATTTAATTAAATTGTTCTTAGTTTAAAAAATGCTTCCTTCTAAATTTTAAACAACTTCAACAACAACAAAAAAATACATAAAGTTAATTGATACAATGTTGCCTAAAAGATGGGCTGCACACTTAAAACTTGTTTTACCATCCAGTCTGTGAGACCTAAGCTAGCAGGTTATTCCTCTTCTTCCTTTGAGGAAAGGAAGAGGAGAAAGGTCTAGGAACACATGAGCTTTTGAAACCTCGTAGGATATTGATGACTAACTATTTTAAGAGTAGAATTATATTTTACTGATAGTTTTCTGCCCTTTTTTTTTTTTTCAGGCAAAACTTCTCAATTTCTCAAATCAATTAAATGTTTCTTAGATGACACTTTTTAGTGATACATGTGTCATCTTGTAGACATCAGATAAGTCAAAAGCCTTGTGGAAGTAAAGCAAATTTTCTTTTATGCTTGGTATTAGTTCTTTGTGCTTATTCTTAAGTTATTGTAAATCTGTGTTTAAAATTTTCCATTTAATTTACTTAACATGCTTCTGTTAATTTTATCCAAAGCTTTGTTTCAGTGACCAGAGGTTTATCAATTACTTCAATAACCTTTGAATCAGGAATACCATATATCATTGTAATTTGCTTAAACACGTGGATTCTGATTTATCTCTAGCAGTTGATTCTAAAATATCTCTTCTTTTTTTCTTCCCCCTCCTGCCTTTTGGTTAGATTGATCCAAACCCAGATCAGCCCACAGATGACAGACCATCTTGCCCCTCTCGTTGAAGGAGTCCATAATAAGCTGACTTGATATGGGTTTTGAATCGTATCTGCCGTGTTGAAGTTCAAGGCATCATAGTGGAGACACACTTTCAAAGGAAGTGGTATTGCTCTTGCCTGTATGGTGAACAAATGAAAACAACCTGTGATCATGCTTAGAAGCCTACAGCAACATCATAGGACTGCTCCACATGCTTGAAGACCTGAGCTTTCCCCTCCCCCCCCTTAAATACTGGCACATACTAGGAGCAGCCTTACTAGCCTACAGTCTTGTGTGTCAAAACACTCACCACGTAAGAGAGGGATGGCTTCCTATTATGATTTAAAAATTTGCACATGCTCATTGCTTACGTTGTGCGGTTCAGTGTCACTACAGCTTTTTCTCATTTATGCCTGACTGTTGTTACCCCCTCTTACTTGTTCGTGGTCCGCACAACAAGGAGCAAAAGAAAGCTTTGACAAAAAAACAACAGCAACAGACTTTGACAAATGCACTGACTTTTTTTTTTTTTTTTAATTTAATGTAGCCTGGACTTTACCTGCATATGCACATGCTCAGAATTGTCCTAATAGGCTGATCATGTATCACCTCTTCAGCTTGGATCCTATTGTGGATTTATTTACAAACATCAAATGCCTTCAAGCCAATCCTTCTTGCTGTATGTTTTGCAGCCTACTGTAGTAGATAAGCAACAGATATGTGGGGGTGGGGGTAGAGGGGAGATAACAGAAAGAAACTAATAAGAGACTCTGTCAGGATTGTATACCTTCTTGATTTCTTTTAAGAATTTGTTGCCTTTCTACTATTATCGCAAAGCAACATTTTGTTACAGACTGCCTAAAAATCACTTAATCTCAGGTGAACTCATCACTTGCCAAACTGTTGGAATGCTATTTGTTTTGTTATGTTGCACTGTTGAGTTACTTTTTTTTTGTTTTGTGTTTATGTTCTGTTTTTGTTCTTTACTTGAGAGGGGGATCTGGAATAGGGACATACACAAAAGTTACAAAACCCACCTTTGTTCCCTTCTTAACTTCCTCCATCACGAAAAAGAGATGGTCAAGTTGTGAAGCTTTAAAAAAAGAAAAAAAAAAAGGCACAAGTGAAAGCAGCACCAGCAGCCACTGGCAAAGAGTCAAAAGAATTTTAAAAGGAAGTAGTCATATACTGCCCAGGACTCATGGGCAGAGAGATTTCTCAACTAGTAGGGATGGGAAGGGAAAGTAAATTTATTTTTTTACATAGTTACCTAATCACCAAAAAGTCTATACCTTTATATAAGGAGTCTCTAGTAGAAAGTATATTTCAGACTACAAGAAGAGCTTGGACTATAGTAAAAGATAGCTCAGTTTGTGCACTTTGTATTATCTTCAGGGTTTATGATACTGTAAAAATACTAAGACTAGAAGTATAATGAAACTGGGCTAGAATATCAGTGTTACCAGCTGTACTCAAGTATTAGTTAACTGAGAATTACTTTGATGATTGCATCTCCTGTGGTACTCTCAAAAGCTTTAAAACAAAAATCCCAACAACTTCAAACATACATTCAAACAAAACACAAGAAATAGTTCTCAGCCGCTGAGTGCAACACAAGAAATAGTTCTCAGCGGCTGAGTGCATGACAAAGACGGAGGTGAAGAAAGAGAAATGGTGTGATGGAGCCATTAGATCTGGTAATACAAATACCAGCACTTAACATGCTAGAACCCTGTGAAAGTCAACTGTTCTTTTCGGGAATCATGTAACACAGACTACTGACAAAGGGACACGCTTCTGGTGTTGACGACTTAAAGTGAGATCTAATCCATCATGTATCTCCGTGTGCAATAAAACAGCTCAGAAGGGAGGGGGAGAGGGAAAGCTGGTGTTTCTGCATGGTGCTTATTTTTACAAAAATTGCCTTGTTTTTAAGGCTTCATAAAATGACAAAATAGGCTTTTCCATAAGTGGCCTTTATGAGAACATGAAAGATATTTCATGTTTCAAAAATGATGACAGGGTGAAAAAAAGTATAAATAAGAGTCGCGTTTTAAGTGATTCAGTTAAAAGGTTTCGGCTTTGATAAGCAAGAATACTGGATAATAAGGAAATGGGGTGATGTCTTACATTATTAGGCCATTTTGTGAATGTCCCTTCCCTTTACCCTCTCTAACCAGACAAAAAATTTTAAGCTGATGGGATCGTTGGCATAAAAGGGCATTTGGTGGTTTTACTTTTTTTTTCTTTCTTTTTTGTTGTTTTAACAGACTAGGGAACAATTGCTGATATACATAGCATTAAACTACTTATCACAGCATAATGGAGAATTACATGTGAAGCAGGATTGACCAATATTGTAGTAATTGGCATTGCATCACAGCCTTTGAGATCAGAGTGAAAAATCTAAAATTTTACCAAATAAAGACTTTCCATTTAAACTATTTTGCTAGTTGGTTAGAGGCATTACGCTTCTTCCACAAATATTGGTCAATTCTCAACATTGTAAGACATGAGGTTCACAGTTGTAGCCCAGTATTTGATATAGAATCCTGATCTGAATTAGGGAAAAAATAAGTAAAATCCAAACATTAGAAAACAAAGTGCAATATTAAATGTTTGCTTTATAGATTATATTCTATGGCTGTTTGTACTTCTTTTCTCTTTTTTTTTTTGTTTTTAGTTTTGGTGCTGAATATGTCCTTGTAGACTCTGTTTCAAGAAAACAATATGTGGAAAACAATTTAATTTTTCCTATTGCTCTTCCTTGTGGAAAATAAACTCTTTTTTAAAAAAATGCTTTTAAATGCTTTCAGTGTAAGCCATAGAATTTCTGCGACTCAAATCTTTTATTTACTACATGTCTAGGTATTAAATATTGGTTCTAAGGATAAAATTACTATAGGAATACATATACTAAGTATGCGTCAAACTGCATCGACAGGAACTATTTCTGGAACTATAAGACTGATGAAGCACAACAGCTAAGTTTCATCACCCTCAGTTCCTTTTTCTAAATATCAGTGACCTCTCAGGGTTAGGTCCCAGAAGGGAAACTACAGTACAATTTCCTATATTGCAAAATGCCAATAATTTATAGGATATGAATACCTTCCCAGGACACTTAAGTTTATATTATCACTGAAATTGTAGTGACCAGTTCTAGTTGCTTAGTACTTTCCACTACAAATGGTTGGGGTTTGGGGAGGGGAGGGAGTCCATTTTAGCAGGGGTAGGAGGAAATTGGGGAGGGGGTATTATTTTAAAGGCCAGATACCTGAGTGGTTGGTAGCTGGGATGTGGAGGTTGGTATGGTGACTTGAGGTCAGCAAGGTGCCTTTTGCTGTTCCGTGGATGTCCAGTGTTACCAGATGTTGAAAATGGCCATCTGCTCTTTGCATTTTACTCAGCAGAGCTTTGCAAGATATTAATAAAGCTCCTCAGCATTCCAGCAATGAAGTCCTGCCACGGCATCTTGCTTCCGCATACCACGCACAGCTGAACCTCTGACAAAATGGATTATCATCCTCCTTCGGTATCAAAATGTCGTTTGACCTAAGGGAAGGTTCACCAGGCTAGAAGCCAGGGACTCAGTAGTCCAACATGCACTGTTCCTGTGTATTTGTATTAAAGGCACTAAAGATAACTACATTTTCATAATATCGTACCCTATGTTCTATGGCATATGCTGCTAATACGGACAATCCAAACATTTGATCTAACTCCTTGTATAATATGAACGGTAGGACTTCCTGAATGTGTGAATTCCTGTGCGAAATGGAGCGTTTCAGTTTTATTTTGAATTTATAGCTGCCAATTATGGAAGAACCAGAAAGACCGTTTTAGGTTTTTCTCACATTAGAAACAAAAACAATCATTTGTATCTGAGTTCTGGTTCAAAGCAATAGGAAATACAAAAAAATAAGGTTATTATCTCACTATGCACATATACTTAGAACTCCTTTATAATTGAGTAACAATGATTAGAATAATTACTTTTTTCTAATACCAGCACAACTCTTTTTAGTACCTAAGTTTCTGATGCTATGTGGCAATATTTGTTAGAATTTAAACTACCTGCAACGTCATTTCAAGGACACACACGCTTCACGCATTTTTGGGCAACATTTTCTTGAAATCTCATTTTTAGACCAGAACTACTACTTAGGATTCCTTTAAGCTTAGATTTATATTGTCACCCTTACTATAAAATTGGAAATTATCAAAGTTTTACTCTCTAAGATCTGAATATTTTCTTTGAAAACACAAATATTTCATATTTCTGACTATTAAAATACCTATGCTCTTCCACATCAGCTATTCATAAAAATGTACAGAGGATGACAAAATTATAATGCCTCAGTGCTTATGCTTCTGAGAGACGTCAGGGAATGTTGCAAAATCGATCAACTTTTTTTTGGTAATTATCTAGCCAAAATACAGAAGAGCTTTTTAATCCCTTTTTAAATTTAAGCCTTTCATGTTTTACAGAAATCAACCAATAACTCACCATAACCTACAGCTACCTTCGTTTTTCACACACAGCAACAATCATAAAAATTGAGGTACAGAATTGAAGAACGGTCTTCAGAACAAATACCATAAGCTGGGCATCCGTCCAACACTGAACTTTCTAGAGGGAAACTTCTGTGCTAATGTGAAGGCTGCTGATTTGAATTGAATCCTGTGAATCAAAGTATATGGCTACATGCAGCTCTGCAAACAGCCTGGGGCCTGGCCTAATTTTTCAGTAGGTCACTGCTCCAGGAGGACAGCTGCTCCCAGGAACATTGACTTGGCCGGAGGGTCCAGCCTGACGCAAAGCATCCAGTTACAGACATTGCACATACAGTGGATTTAAGCAGAAACCTCCTCAGGAATTCGCAGAAATTTGAGAGGTACCAAGCACTTGTACTTGCATGACAATTAATGATGATTTCCATCTTTATATTTTTTCTACCAAAGGCAACTTACAAAGGCATGTCAGTGGGCATGTTTCACCTCCCTTCCAGGTGATATCCTTGCAATAAGAAAAAAGTAATCTATTTGTTCTCTAAGTAATCATTCACTTCTGGAACTCTCCCTGCCAGCTACAGCCTGCTATTTTTAGAGCTGGATCTCCACATCTCCTGACCTAGTGGACATTAGGACAGAGTGGTAGCTTTTGAGTAGAGGCCAGATGCCACTGCGAAATCTGAGTTGAACACTGTGTCTTTTTTCTAATCCAGTTCAGAACAGGAAAGATTCAAAGTTCAGGGCACTTTCTTGAGTTTGTTTCAAGCATCTTGCTGTAATGTTATTTATAATATATATACTGTTTGTCATACCTGGAGGAAAGATAATGGCCTAGAATAGAGAAGGTGAGAGCTTCAACTACGACATAAAAATCAAGTTTTTAGCTAGGAGATGCATTTAAGATGGCTGGAATATACAGTTTGAAAAAAAAAAAAAATCCAGGAGCTAATATTAAAGTGCCAAACCAGATATTAAGAATTAAGTCTCTGCCTCCTTAGCAGCAGAGTCTGAGCTCTCGCATAAGGAAAACAAAACCTCTCTAAGATGGTGCGACAGCACTGAGCTCTCCTGTGAACGCCACCTGCGGGTTCCTACGCAGGACAGCGGGGGCAAATACAGAGCGAAAGACACTTCCCTCTGGTTCGCACCTATCAGTCCAGAGCAGATCTAACCCGCCGGCTCGAGTCCCGCTAGGCTGGAGCGTGCCTCTGACTCGCCCGCTCTTCGCCTAGTGTTTGGCAATGGGGAAGGCCACAACCTGTTAGCCATTTGTTGATTTAATAAAGGTTATTTCTAAAGTGAATTTATGAGTGTGACGTCATTCAATCTTTCTCAAAAAAGATACGATGCTTTTGTTCTCAACAGAATATAATGAGAAAGCTTAGGAGGAGGGGAAGAATCATTACAAAACTTAATACGACCTTTTTTATTTTTATCTGAAAATTCATGCAATTATCTAAATCTAAACAATGTCTTAGTGTCATCAGACTGCCTAAAATCCAAACTAAACTTCCCACTACAGATGGTCTAGATACTAATATTCAAGGCAAATGTGTCACTCTTGCCCATCGGCTAACAAACAGAATTTAGTAAATCTTTCCGTGGGTCAGTCAGCTTTGTAAATGATGTAGAACAGTCACCGGATAATGATTTCTAATAAATGAGTTTTTGATTATTTATGCCCTCGTTGTAGGGGCCATTTCTAAATCAGCTGAAGACGGTAGGGTTAATCAATCAATTCTTCCTGGTTAGCATTGCTAAGTTCAGAAAATAGATAACCATAACATGTTGACATCCAGCTCTGATTGCCAAAATCATTTCAGTATTAAGTGTGATATAAACAAAGAGGAATTTGTTTCACTATTTCAGAGTTAATTATCTCCCAAAGCTTGAAATAAATGGCCTTCTTACAGGCTTAAGAGCATCAGATAGGAAAGACAGTTTTACTCCTACCCTTATATTTTCGTGCATCAGACATAATATATTGTGACAAATTTGCACAGCTTTAAAACAATAAAGTGATTCATCAGTTGTACCACATAAGGCTATGCTCACAAAGAAAACAAATGAAAAAGCCGATACCTAGCAAAAGCAGAAATAACACAATTTAAATGAACATTCAAACCACATCACTGCGTTTACTTTTCTGCTTTCTAACTGTTCCCTCTTACTTTCTCCTTATAATTCAAAGTAATTCAAAGAAGGTAACAATCTTCTCTTCATTCCCTCGCTGCCTTCCCTTTTTTATATCTTATTCAAACTTTTTAAGGCTCCAAGACATCCCACTTCTCTTATTGCTTGT